CTATAAGAATATGTAATAATATATGGACTATTCCATTTAAAAAAATCGCGATGACCTCGAAATCTCAAAAATTATGACCTCGAGAAAAATTTTTCGCTCGTCATAATATATCTCCCTTCCAATCGAACAAGTTTTCCCTGTAATATTTTCCCGTATCATCAAAAACAACGGAGATATTTTAAATGGTCGAGTTAGAAGAAACACTCTGTATATATACATATATATGTGTATGTACGTTTATTTCATTAGATATAATTTTTCACGAAAAAGATTCACTCTCTTTTCCTCTCTTTTCTTGAACTTTTCTTAAAATTTTAAACTATATGTTTCTTAGTTTTCATTTTATTGTTTCATATGCTACTTAATTCAAGTTAAATTATACTTCGAACATTTGCTTACCATTGCTGAGATTCGGCAACCTGAGATCTCTAGTTCTTGAGTCGTTTACCTTACCTACTGCGCCACTGTCATTTTGACTGAAAGCTTTATATTGTATACGTACGGTATATCTATGTGCGGAAACAAATTATTTATAGAATAGATTCTTTTAGAAGAAGATAGATATTCTTAGAAGAGAATAGATTCTTTTAAGGGGTATTAGGGAGAATAGATTTTTTAAGGCCACTCTAGAATTTTCAAAAAATCGTTTCTTTTTTTTGCTTAAATGACTTTAAGGTCTTAGAAATAAGGTATAAAAAGTCTATAACGAAGAAAAATTCTTAAGTGTCATTTTTGGAAGTTTAAAGCATCGTATCTTTCGGTAAGATGTGAAGCGTTTGCGAAGGGATCCTTCTGAGAATAATAAAGGGATTAGTTACGCACAGTTAAGCTTGGGTAAGGTTTTCTTAGGTTCCTAGTGAATATAGATGGCACTAGTAAATGTATAGATGGCATTAGTAGTATAAAAGAGCAAAGTGTTAATATAGGGTCAGTATAGCCGTTGAAATGATACAGTTTATACGACATTTTTGTCTCTTTTATATTTTCGGATACAAAATTTGTATATCGATCGTACGCTTTAAAAAATTAGTGATTACTTGTACAATGAGTGGAACAGTACCGCAGAGTCGTAAAGGTACGAAAAGTACTAGTAGATATAAGAAAAAGTCGAAGATATCAGGTAGGAGACCGTTGAAGCGATTTGAAATGGAGGCTGCGCCGGAGAGCGTCGGTACTTCTGCTAAGAAACTAAGGAAATCTAAAGAATCATATGATGAAATCAAAGTGAATGAAATTTTTGGCTACCCTTTACTAAATTTTTATTGCGGTTTTTACTGCCATTTCGGAATCTGTTGTATGTAAAACGTGCCATTCTAAAGTGACATTCAGCGAAAGCAGCAAACGAGGCTTGGGATTCAAAATCGTTCTTTCTTGTGAGAACTGCGGCGACATTTTCATTCCGAATTGTCCTTTTATTAATAATGCATATAAAATAAATCGTAGAATGATTTTTGCTATGCGATTATTGGATGTTGGTCTTTATGGAATACATAAGTTTTGCGCCTTCATGGATCTTCCTCGACCGATTTTTCATTCATTTTACGATAGACTCACGCACACAATTTCACACGCAACTGAAACAGTTACTAAAAAAAATATGCTAATAGCTGCTCAAGAAGAAAAGGCTTTGTCTATAGAAAAAGGTCAAATAGATGGTTTAACAGTGTCAGGCGATGAATCATGGAGAAAACGTGGCTTTTCATCACTGTTCGGATTGGTAACATTAATTGGATGGTTTTCTGGAAAAGTAATTGACATTGTTGTGAAGTCTAAGTATTGCAAAACTTGTGAGTTTTGGGAGAAAAAAGTTGACACTGAAGAATACGAAGAGTGGAAAACATCACACGCTAACGAATGTCAAGCGAATCATGAGGGATCGGCCGGCAAAATGGAAATCGACGCAGTCATTGAAATGTTCCAACGCTCAGAACAATTGCATCAAGTGAAATATGCAAATTATATTGGATATGGAGATTCTAAAACTTTTAAGGATCTTTTGGAATCACAACAAGAAGAAAATTCATCAGTGAAGAAAAAAGAATGTATTGATTACGTCCAAAAACGAATGGATACCCGTCTTCGCAACTTGAAGAAAGCCATGAAAGGACTTGGAGGAAAAGGCAAATTGACTGCTAAACTTATAGATGAATTGTCTGTTTTTTTTCGGATTAGCTATCCATCGTAATCATGATTCAATTGAAAATATGAGGCGAGAGATCTGGGTGACCTTTTATCATAAATTATCCACAGACGAAAAGTCATAGCACAATAA